ATTATTATTATTATATTTGCTTTCGAAGGTTTTGATGACCTAAAACATTGCCAAAATAATCAATAAGTGCTCTCAAAATGTTTTAAAATTACCTAAAAACAAAGAAAAATGTGCAAAATTGATCAAAATGGTTTCAGTTGAACAACTCAAGCTGTTGGATATGATACTGATGTAATCAAGGCTTCTGCCTTTTTTTCAAGTGAACTCAGCTCGCAAAGTTTTGGTTTGGACTGTTCTTTAAAAGAAAATCTCTGCATTTATTTATTGCGAATCAGACGAACTGACAATGTCACTGATAGGAGTCACAGGAACCTTGGATTACACAGTACTCACAACGGCTGACGTTACAATGTATGAGCGAAGAAATCGAATAGGCTACTCTGAAGTTCTGTTTGAATAGTTTTTGGACCTTGTAAATATTGTTTGAACAAGTATCATTGAAATGATATGAAAGTCGATGAAATCGGCGGAAAATGTATTAAAAACGATGTAAAAGGGTAAAAAAAAATTAAAAAAAAAAGATTCATTACTCGAAATCGAAGAAAATTTTTTTAAAAATCTATAAAAATGGTTCATTTTCTTTTGTCATAACATAAAATTAATTTCTATACTAAACGATATTGTCCTAAAGTGAAAAGAAATAAAAAATATTTCATTAAAATTATTATATCACCAAATTATTATCTCACGGCATTTCGCGTCTTTCTCGTGTGTCGCTACATGTCGCATGATCGCCACCGTATCGAGCAGTGCGACATCATGCGACATCCAACGCGCGATCTAATAATTGCGATCGTATCGAGCAATGCTGTCGAACATGCGATATCTAGCGGCACGTCAAAGAAAGATGCGAAATAACATGAGATATTCCATCGGGAAACAGACCCTCACGCCCCAAGAATAAAAACCGAAGTACAGAGTTAAACATGTCAGTAGTGTGCTGCAGTTTGCTGTGTGTTGCGGATTGCACCTGAACGCCATATATTTTATTTAATAATGTAACACAATTATATACAAAGTTTAGCTTTTTGCTCCCTTTCTCCATATAAACGTTAACTACCCCAAATCTCACTATTTACTAGGCTGTCCGGGTGATGCCGCGTCCATGGCGAAGGTGCCGACCAGATGCCGACGTTTCGGTCACCATTCTGCGACCTTCCTCAGGGCGTAATGCAGGCATACGTCGGCGCCTTTGCCATGGTCGCGGCGTCACCCGGACAGCGTAGTAAACACTGACTCCGGCCGCGGAAGCCTACGCTCTCTCCAAATCTCACACTCCTCGCGCGTAATATGCTTAAAATGGGGTACTAAGTTTTCTCTTCATGTATTGATATATAGACAGTACTCGACGTACAATCATATTCATCAGGTGTCAGCATCAACAGTTCACTTCAAAAAGTCACATACAATACACGTACTACATTGCTTTAGACACACTGATGTCAATAAATAAATAGATAAATAAAAATAGATACTAAGTAAATAAATAATTAGAACATGATAAATAAATAAATAAATAAATAAATAAATAAATAAATAAATAAATAAATAATGTATAGAAATAAATATAAAAAATAAATAGAAAAAATGAAAAATAAATAAATACAGTACAAATATTTGTGATGACAAATCGCCGTTTCTTGCTGCTGTATTACAATACTTTCTTTATTCTATGTAAGTAAGATGTCAAAATGAAGGGGGAAAACTTCAAATAAACCCCCTTATTTATTTATTTATTTTTCCCGGAAAGAGCTAAAGATGCTTAAAAAATAGCGCGAGTCTCATTTTCGCGAGTTCTCTAAATATACGAAAATTGCAAAAGTCACAAATAATGCGAAAACGTATGTGCTGTGGTAGTTCCTAGATTTTAATTGATAATGACGAAAAGGCAAATTTATTTAAAGAGTGTTCAAATACAAAAAAAGGTCTATATTAGGTGCCAGAGAAATTTTTCAATCTCAGGATGCACCACCAATAGATTCTTTCTTGAGGTAGTGATTTGTATTTGTTAATACACAGGTTCCCAGAAATTATTTGCTAGGATTTTTGTTGAACATGTCTTTGGATATGTCAAAATATTATGTGTTCTGAAAATGAAACATTGTGAGGCTTCTCTGTTTGTGAGTTCCAAATTTCTTTTGCACATCATCTTATTGAATTATTTTAAACAGAGTGAGGAAATGCAGTGTCACAGTTCTAAGCTTGTAATTGTCAGGAGGGCTTTGAACATTCAAGAACATGAACATTCATGAACTAAGAGAGAATGCACAAGAAATATACAAAAATTACTAGAATACTTGAAAAGTACTTGAATTTTGTTTGTAAATATATTTTTTGTTCTTTGAAATAATTATAATACATTTTCTAATAAGCTAGGTTAAAGAAATGCAACATAAGCATGGGTGTAGTGGGTTTAAATGTGATTTAAAAAATATACTTTTTGTTTATTATAAAGGATGTGAGTTGAAGACAATATTTGTTTTTTGTGTTATGCACATTTGCTTGTGTTGTGTTAGTATGTACAATGTGGTGACATGTATGTATATTATGTGCTGCCCAAATAAGCATGGAAAAATCTGGCATTTTTTATTGTATTTTTTTGTTTAAAGGTAAAGAAAATTTACCATATTGATTTTTTTCTTTCAGATTAATATTTTTATGACACATATGTCAAATTATGGCAATGATCGCCTGGCATTATACACTTTTGAGTCTGTAATTAAGTTTCTGCAGTGCTGGACCAACCTACATCTTAGTACTGCTCCTCCTTTGCAACTTGGTGAACGTTACTTTCAGTTGTATCCTGAAGAAGGTGATCCTGTATGGGGGGTAAGTGAATTTCAGTATGCAAATAGAAAAAAAAGGAGAATTTAGAATATTTTTAATGACAAAATAACAAGACAAGCAAATCATATCTGATAGTTTTGTGATAATTTTCGAGTACTGCCCCATAAAATGCACTATATGTCAGGAAATCCTTTCTGTAAAGAAAAAAGTGAAAATTTGTTGCCCAGTGTAACTTAACATTAAATTATTTCTGATTTCACTATTAATGCTAGTGGTGTTAGTGATTGAGATTTTTGTGGATTATTATAAACAAATCCCACCAAAAAAATCTTTCCCCCTTAATCCTACTTTCTTCCCATTCCCTTCTTTTCCTCCACTTCATCTTTCTCCTCTCTTTGTCTCTCCTTTCATTCCCTTCTTTGACTCTTCTACTTTTCTACTCTTCACCTCTGCTTTCATTCTTCTCTCCTGTTTTTCTCTTCTGCTTCTAGTTCTTTCCTCCCCTCCCCCCTCTCTCTCACAATCTTAACCTTACCTCCATTTGCCTATTTTATCTTTTCTTCTTCGTCCTTCTCTTCCTCTCCATCTTCACTTTTTCTTCTCCTCATTCTCCTTCTCTTTTTCATTCTTCTTATCCGAGGTCTTTTACCTCCCCCCCCCCGCCCTCATTCTCTTTCTCTTCCTCCTTCTTCATCATGGATGAAGAGAACAGCATCTCTTCTTGATTTGCGAGGAAGCTAGAGTTTGTGCAGATGTGTTTGCATAATTTAATATTTAAGTACATACTTTAATTTGGAAGTTTAATTAAATTCTGTGTTTAGGAAATCTTGCAGTATCAACTTTATTCTCTACATTTATAATAAATAAAATAAAAATACTAAATATCTGTTTCAGAACCCATGTGATGATTTGAGACACCAGAGAATTTGGTCTCGAAATAAAACATGTGAGCAATTACCTAGGTTTTTGGTAATTGGTCCACAGAAAACTGGCACTACTGCCCTCTACACATTCCTTTCAATGCATCCAGATATTAGTAGTAATTTCCCCAGTCCAGATACTTTTGAAGAAATTCAGTTTTTTAATGGCAAAAACTATTACAGAGGTCTTGACTGGTGAGTATTTCAATCACCTTTATTAATTGTGTGTTTGTTCTTATGACTTAATTATGACTTAAAAATAAATGAGTTGCATTTATTTATAACTTTACTAGTCATACACACAATGAATAAGTTTGGAATCGAGTTTATGAAATCAAACCAAAGTGAGAAACCAATGTTCTTTAAAGGAATTTATCAACAGGAAAGTGAAATTTCTTTAAGTAGCTTAATTATCTTTTGATCAGTCTAATATTATATCTTATATTTGTGCCTGTAGCCTGAATTTACGTGCATATAAACAACTTTTTAGAAAAAGAACATTGAGTTAACTGTTATTAAATACAAGAAGTAATACAAAATTTTAAAAAGTTGAAAGAAACAACAACTGTGCATAGAAGCTTTTATTCATCATAATTTTATGTAGTCTCTAAGCTACAAAAGTCTAATATAATTAGAACTGTAGTGTATTGGAATTTTATTTGGAATATGTATAACTTAAAAAAAATTAGATCATAATTTGAAAGTTATTATTTATTATGATAATATTGAAGCAAGACAGCAAACAAAATTATTAAGTTTTCTCATTGCTAACCTTTTGTATTGATTCTAAAATATTTTTTGTTAGGTACATGAATTATTTTCCAATTCCAAAAAATTCAACCGCTCGTTATTTGTTTGAGAAGAGTGCAACATACTTTGATGGGGATCTTGTTCCTAGGAGAGCACACGCACTTTTACCTCATGCCAAACTGGTAAGTTGCATTTAAATAGGATGGCACTGAAGAAATGTACATTTTTTTTGACCTACTTCTTTCGTGCTTTTAGGTTACTATTTTGATATCTCCAGCCAAGAGAGCATACAGTTGGTATCAGCACACCAGAGCCCATGGTGATCAAGTAGCATTAAACTACTCTTTTCATCAAGTGATAACTGCTAGTGATACTGCCCCCAAATCTCTCAGAGAGCTGCGAAATAGGTATTGCAGTAATCACATATTCTAATGAAGATTCATTTAAATTTAAAATTTTATTCATTTATAAAAGGCATTAAAATGTATAAGTTATGATAATATTTTAAATCTGTAATTACTATTAACAGTAATTACTATTTTTACAGTTTTCATGAACCTTGTTATTTTCCTTTCTTATTTAGATGTCTCAACCCTGGGAAATATGCTCAGCACTTAGAAAGATGGCTGACATATTATGCCCCACAGCAACTACACATTATTGATGGTGATCAACTCAGATCAAATCCTGTAGAAGTTATGAATGAACTCCAGAGGTTTTTGAAAATTCAGCCACCGTTTGACTATTCTCAGCATCTCAGGTATTCACTTGCTTTCTTAAAACATTACATCAATAATTCTTCAAAAAAGCTTGTTATTCTCTTAGAATATTACTGCTAATGTCTTGATGTATCTGGCGCATCAAGTCGATGTTTTTGACCCAAGAGTATCTTTTGACCCAGCATCCTGAGCAAGGACCTTTGGTGCAAGGGGCAAAAGCTAGTAATAGTGTGGTGCATATTGCCTGCGCACATTTTCTTGAGCCCTCATTTTCCTAGATGTGAAAGGAGCAGGGGGATAGTTGTTTTGGCGACAAGACTCTAATATTAAATCTGCAACTCGTTTTCCAATACAAAGAAGTTTCTATTACATGAGATGAAACATTTTTGCTCATCAGATTTTTTAACAATGTGTGTTGGAATGACTTTTTCGTAATTCAACTAATGTTAGTAAAAGAGTGAGTGTAGGTATTCCAGGGCTCAAGAAAATGTGCTGAGGTAATACAAAACTTTTATGATTCAGTATTTGTTGCTGAATAAAACAAATTCTTAAAAAAATCAAAATCAAATCATCAAAAGTACAGAGTCACATTGTTATATTTGGTTGTCAGTATGACATCAGATAAAACAGGTCCTGACACAAAAAGAAGATAAAAAGTTCTGATGTGTCCCACAATCCCTTGTTTTCTCATTATTAATTATTAACGAATATTTACGCTCAGCACTCTTTCAGATCCAATCCCACAACTTCATCCATCTATGCACTCATTCATAGAAGGCCTTGACTCGTTGTATTCTATGTAGATGACAATGTGTTGTCATGGAGATTTGTTTACATTTGTCATTAGACTTATTTCAACTTTTCAATCCAGAATATCTAGCGAGTTAACTGTATGTTCAGTCATGGCAGAATATACTTTTTGTAAACAAGCAGATCAGATTTTTATGAGTTTTCAAGTTATTAAAAAAAATTAAACCTTGAGCCATGTACACAAATGGCTTTTCGTATTTTTGACATTTAATAAACATTGCTATTAAAAAAGTAGTGTTGTTGGCATTTAGAAATCAAAAGACCTGAAAGGGTATAAAGTATACAATAATGTTCATCTCAGGTCCACAGTTAACACACAATAGTAAACTAGTGATCCATAAAATGAAATAATTAAATGCAATGTCATTGCCAACAATATTGTTTATTACAATAGCAGCTTTCGATGGCTTAGCCATCATCATCAGTTTTCTGCTGTATGGAAGCTACAAAACGTACCAGTAGTAGACTACATATAGTCGTTTTGTGGCTACCTCCAGCCTGGTAGGTGCAATTACCTGGGGCCCCCGGTCAGAAGGAGTCCCCAAAAGCAATTTTTTTGTTTAACTGAATGTTCTTCAAAAACCCCTTCTGGAAGCGATTTTTTTAAATTTGTCATTAATTGTCAAAACATGTCGCAAATCGACTCATGTAAAGTTTCTATTACTTATTTTATTTTGAGGACGCGAAGATGTTTTCCAAATTTGTAATTTGACATCCCAGGACCCTTATTATTGCTTAATTTAAAGCTGGGCAAACCTACAACTGAAGTGACTATGCCCTACTTGGTGGCCTAGCAGAAGTAACTCCCTTTTGACAATTCAAATCAGATATACTGATGTTTTTCAAAGGTTTATCAAAAATAATTTTAATAAGCAAAAGTGTATTTGAGTGAGCAAATGTGTACAACTAGAGGAACTAGTGGTTTTAACTTTATTCGAAGATCTGTTTTTTTAAGGAATACATTTCATAAAGGAACAAATTGTAGTTATAGGAAGACCGATAAATTTTTTTTTTTTGTTTTTTTTTCAGATAATTCACGGATTTTAACGAACATGAGACCTGCACCATGCTCTTAAATGTTCTTTTTGCTACATAAGATCCAAATTTAATAAAAAAACTCTTATGCCGTTTTTAAGAAAAAATGTTTTAATGAAAATAAAAATCGCCTATGTTTGACACAAAATTACGCAAAAATTCTAATATTTTCAAAAAATTGAACATAACATTATTTGAAGATCTGTATTTAATGGACACACTTTAACATGAAAAAAATATCTTCACAATAAGTGTTGTAGGAAGACGCCGAAAAAAGTGTGAATTTTAACAATTTTCAAAAATTCAGAATTTTTAACAAACATAAGACCTGCACCGTTCTCTGAAGCGTTCTTTACACTAAGATCCAAAAGTAATAAAGAAAATTGGTGCAGTTTTAGAGAAGAAAATTGTTTAAACAAAAATAAAAATTGCCTGTATTTCACACAAAAATACTCAAATCTTCAATATTTTAATTGTAGAGTGATTTTTTTCATTTTTGAAAAATTAAGGTTTGTAATAACAATGAGGCCTATAGCATTCTGTTAAACGCCCTTCACGAGAACCAACAAAAAAATTTAATCAAAGAAATTGGAACCATATTTTGAAATTTTAAAAAATGTTCAATGGCTTCACGTATGTACTCCCCAAAATTAAAATATAGGTTTCAAATTCAAAAGGCCGTGACAGCCAGATAGAGGGGGGAATATCAATTTTCGAAAAATCGTCTGAACGGTTTAGTGTCTAGCGTTGTTTACAGACGGATACACATTTTGCCGTCAATCGATTTTTCGGTATCAAGGACCCACAAAACTTGGATTCTGGCTTCGCCACGTGTTAGACTTTTTTCCCAATAAATTTAGCAAGTGAATTTATCCACTTTGTCGATACCAGAGCCTGGACCATATGAGTTTTGTGCCGAAAAATTTTCCATCGCAACATTACATAACTTTCTCTTTAATGCGTTAGCGGTATCGAGAAAGTAAAAATGGAGAAGTTCGAGTTTGTATTCCAAGTTGCGATCAAAATTTTTTAATGCAATACAACTAATGATGTCTTAAAATTTGATAGTATCTAATTTTGATATTTGCCATGCACGGGATATGAGGGAAGCAGCTCGCTAGGATCTAAAAATCTGGATCTAAATCCTGTGCAATTTTCGTCAAAAAAAATCCTGTGCAATAGAGGTGTCTACATCTTGGGGGAGTAAATGTCGAGTTTTGCGATAAACGTTTAAAAACAAAAAACAAATGTCAATTCGATTAACTATGCGAATATCAACTTTTATCTGATGGCGAAAAACGATTGAAAGTGAAGGTTTTCTTCGCTTACAGACAGGGCCCTGGTAAGGAAAATGTGGATTTATCCATTGCTCAATTTAGAAGAAGAAAAACCCTCTAACACTTAGTGTAGTCAGAATCAATGTTTTGTGGGTCCTTGATACCGAAAAATCGAATGACGGCGAAACGTCTGTTTGTCCGTCTGTGAACAACGCTATAGCGTATAAACCATTCAGCCAATTTTCTCCAAAATTGATATTCCTCAATCAATCTATCTGATGTCGCGGGTCCTTGAATTTGAAACCGAAATTTTAATTCGGGGGGGGGGGGGTCACATAAAGCCCGTGGGATATTTTTCAATTTTTGCAACAACAAAAAAAAAAAAAGATTCATCATTTTTGATTAAATTTTGTTGTTTGATAGTGTGAAGGACGTTTAAAAGAACGGTGTTGGTCTTATGTACGTTAAAAACCCTGATTTTTCGAAAATTGCAAAAGTTCAACACTTTTTTTAAAGTTTTCCTTCGGTCCCTGTCCGGGAAATCAATTTCGAGCTTTCATTCAAATATGCTGGCTAACTTTGTCCTGAGTATTCCACTCTTTCAGTTAGCTTTCCACACGTGTACTCAGTAATCTTGTTGTTTCTAACGATTCCAGTGACAATTGCGACTGCAGAGCGATCATTTTCAAAATTGAAAATCATGAAAGGTTATCTGAAATCCCATAAGAAAGGACTGAAGGACCGTAGCATTTTGCTCGTGGAGAATACAGTGACGAACTCGTTGAAAGCGAACCTTGGCGACGTTATTGATAAGTTCGTCAAAGCAAAAGTCTGCAGGGCTCGATTCTGAATTTTGTGATATATGATTAATAAAGCTTCTTTCAATTAGTTTTCAGCACCCTTTTTTGCTTGAGAATTTTTTTGCGGAGGGTGGGTGGGGGGGGCAATCAAGTTTCGGAACCGGGGCGCAGAAGGGCTAGTTAGCCATTGCTCTCTTCTATAAGTTTTTAGCTTGCAGTTTCTGAAAAGGTAAAATGAAAGGTTTCTTCAAAAGGTTGGAAAGTGATCATGAAGATAGTTTTTCAAAGAAAATTTCCTTGCTGACCTACACTCACCTTTTCTCTCAAGCGATTATTTTATCTACTGAAGAAGACCCAGTCACTTGTAAATGTTAAACGAATTATTGATTCTAAAATAAGATGGAATACTATTGATAGTTACACAGGTAATTTTTTTTTAATCAGTTCCAAATCGGAGTCTATATTTTCAGTGATACCTCAAGCAATTTTATGTAGGTATTCGATGGCATACGGAAATATTTATGTGATAAAAACATATTTTAAATTACTATTACAGGGGATACGAGACCATTTGCCTCTTTTAAAGCACCTCTAATTTGATTTGGGAGGGAAAAAATAGCATTGAGATGCGGATAGTAACAGAAGTTGATGACTGCCTGCCGTCACTAAAGTAAGGCCTGCTGCTGCGCCTGCTGGCTATTGTTCCTATCATTAAAAAAAATCTTTAAAAAATATCTATTATGTGGGGGAGTAGGTGCAACTGTGCAAATGAACAAGTATTGTACTTCAGTTTCTGGGTCCGTGACCCTCATCTTCAGCGTCAGGAAAATGAATTCATATACTTCATAAAGAGTAATTAAATTAAAATAGCAACTATCACGAAAACCCACCTTTCGCAGAGAGAAAGATTCAATATTCCTGGCGAAAAAACATAGAAACATCAGGATATCACAAACTGCGTCAGGTGGTGTAGCAATTTTGAAATCGAATACTATTAAGTATGGGCAGGTTCCTGCAACATTCTCGTCAAACTTAGATACAGTCGGAATAAAAATATTTGTTAATAATAGTGAAATAGTATTAATAGCTACATACAAACTACCAAATAAAACGGACAATTTTAACAGCTATCCCCGACTAATATTGATGGGAGTCGGTTCGGGATTTCGGTTTGGGGGTGCCGAATCACTACAGCCCAGGATCAAAAACCTTTTTAATTTGGCCCAAAATAATAATATTAGCTCCCATAGCTGCGAGTCATTTCCCATACAATTCAAATATAGTTAAAGATATTTAATATATACTATTAACCAAAATCATATATCTATATTCCAAAGCGTATTACACGACCTTCAATCAGATCACAACCCAGTACTAATAACTTTTTTCAAACCAATTGAAGAAATAAAATCAAAAACGATTGTAACAGCAAGAGTAAACTGGCCCAAATTTTCATACCTAATGCGAGAAAACTACTTATGTTCACGTTTGTATTGTGAATGGGCCTTAAGGATAAATTACCCTTAACCGTAAACGTTGACGATTTTCCTTTACAAATAGTTTTTTTTTCAGCCGAGAGAGAATAGTTTTCGTACCTAGTAGCGTAACGCAATGAGTGCGTGCCCGCCCGCAAAACACGTATACGGTTTTTCTTTAAAAAGTGCATTGCAAACACAGGTAGTGTTAGAACCTCAAATAACAAGAACAGGCCCTCTTTTACCCGGGCGCGCGCGCGTTGCAGGCCTTGCGGTCCCGAACGTTACACAACTGTTCTACTGATTCTTGCCAAAAGCTGCTCGTTGCTTCCCATATTAATGGTACTGAATACGAGTATGTGTTGAGTTAAGGCAGAGATCAGAGCTCAAGAAACCGTGCACAGTTGCACTTTTCCCCATAGTACGTCACAGACAGTTTTTAACTAATACTTGTCATTAAATATATAAAGAAAATCGTGGAATTCGTGGGTTCTAGAAACGTACTGTCACAGAATCAAATTTCAGACGGGCAGCCATTCGCATTCAATGATCAAGAGACAAGGGAGGGAAAGACATAGCGATTGAGTTAAAACTACATTTTTAATGCGTTTGTTTTATATAACAGAGAGTATATAGTAATAGAGCACATGTGTAGCTCGAACGAAATCTAACAAATATTTTTCAATCATTGTTATCGCATTGTTGGGTTTGTGTGTGTGTGAGAGAGAGAGAAAGAGAGAGAGAGAGAGTGGGGAGGGGAGGCTTTTACTCCGTTTTCTGGATCCACCATTGGCTACTCGGAGCTATTATTTACTTAACCACCGGCTTCTCGTAAACAACATCGTGTATGTACAACGATGGTATTTTATATTTCGAACAAAGCTCTTATGTATGTCTTAAACTAGGTACAAAACTTTTGTAAAGGTAGAACTATCTTTCCGCTGCTGCGAATTCTTGTTAAGAGCAGATCGATAACATTCCGTACACGTAAAATGGTTGTGTATAGCAATTTTAAATAATATAGTGAATTTTTATTTAACATATTTTCTGTTTCTTACATATTTTGGAAAAATAAGTACATATTTTGCTAATAATATAGACATATAGTTTAAGTTAATAGTATAAGTCAATATTATAGCTTGCAATAAATAAGAACATATTTTGCTTTTTTATTGCATTAAATCCCATTCACTAGTAGTGAGTTATACAAGTGCTGGCCGAGATGTGTTAATGTGGACAGGAATTGGAACATGATAATTCCATGTAACCATTACTGATTCGAGAAAGAATTGCTGTAACACCCCTAGTTTGGAAGATTTTTGTCTTTTATTTTGATATTTAGCAGGAAGATACAATATTGGGGTTATTTTCAGAAATAAGGAATAACAAATAACAAGTGTTTACTTTATGTGTTTCTAAAACCCAAATCGTACCAAACACCAGTCAATTAACTATACTCGGAGAAGAAAAACACAAAAATTCAAAGTCCGAAACACAGTCGTAGAAACCTGATCATGTCCCCTCAAGCACGGCACAGCAGTTCACAAACACTTCGACAGAATCACCATTCACCAGTCCGCGGTCAGTCCAACTTCGGCAGTAAACAGTGATCACGACACTGGTTTTTCTCAACTCAATTACTATCTTATCTGTCGCGTCGCATCCCTGACCCTCGAACCCTCCGGCGGAGACTCGCTCCCGTTGCAGGCGGATCGCCGGCAGGCGATGGACTCGGCCGCCTTCTGAGTCACCGCCAGCCAGCAGCGCCCGGAAGCCAAACTCAGCAAAACCATGCCCAAAAGGAGAGGCTGGTTGTACTCTAGTACTCTAGGCCGGTAGTACTCTGTTCTCGAATTGTAGGCTCAAACAGTGGATTTCACAAAATAGTGGGCGCTGTTAGCTGCAGGGGTTCCCAACGACCCCCCGGGGATCGGCGGTCGTGTTCGATTGTTGAAAATGAGGATATTTACGATATTGGTGTACGAAATTGTTATCTTTAAGGCCTTTACGTGCAATTCTTTGTGTCATGATTATTCATGCTGTGTATTATATAGAAAACGTAAAGGAGTCGGTGAAGCAAACATTTCTCTTAAGAGCGGTCCATGAAAGGAAATGGTTGGGAATCCCTGGTCTGAAGCTAGCTGCGCCCTCCTACAAAGTACAACAATACAGAATTTAAAAAAAAATTAAAATAGTTTTCGCGAATATTAGCGTATAAGAAAGTTCCATCATTGCAATACAACAAAAACGCATCCAAAATAAAGGCTATACTTAGCCTCTAGCAAAAAAATTGTCCCAGCCCATAGTTTCCATAAATCAGGGCTGTACAAAGAAAAAAAAAGAGCTTACGTTCTTATAGGCTAATCACGAAAACTATTTTTTTTAAAATATTTTTTCAAGTCCTTCCCAAAATGAAAGGCTAATTTTAGGCTATTGAGAAACAATCCAGTCATTATTTTCGAAAAATCAGGGCTGCACATAGAAAACAGGTAATCTAGGTATTCGCCACGTCCAAGGCGAAGGTGCCGACGTTTCGGACGCCATTATGCGACCTTCCTCAGGGCGTAATGCGAGGTAATTACAGTAAATGGGTTATACAAAAATGTGTCGAAAATTCGCCGTTTTTTCCGCAGCATTGCAATACGTTCTCTATACCGGGTAGGTATGCGGCAGCGAGAAAGTAAAAATAGACAAAGAACGCACTTTATCTGTTTTTCTTAGTCCACCTCTGATTTTCGGAAAATATGGAGAACTTTGTTTGGAGAGCCTGTAATTAGAATTTTATTTTTGGCAAGGTATTATTTTTTCTGATGTTTTTGAGTTTTCGGGTATAGGCCCATAAACCCGTAAAACCATTGTTATTTGTTTTTCTTTGTACAGCCCTGGTTTTTGGAAAACATTTTCTGAAACGATTTTTTCATGGAGCCTAAAAGTAGCATTTAATGTTGCGGAGGGTTTCATATTTTTGCTGAGGTTTTTGGGTTTTGTGTATATAGAAAATCATAAGAACGTGTCTTGTACAGCCCTGATTTTTGTAAAATACGGACTGAAACCATTCTCTCCCCTTGTGCTTTTAATTTTGGATGCATTTTTGTCTTGCAATGGGGGTAAATTGTTTTTTGTTTACACCAGAAACCTTTGTTTTTGACCAAAGTTGCAAGCGCCCATAATTTTTGGAAAACTACAAGATCCTAATATTCGTCAGTAAAGCACTTAATTAGTCTAAAATTAGCCGCTAGCTTTAAAAAGCTTTGCTTGATTATCGCTCGCCGTCTGCTCCACCGCCAGCGCCTCATCACCTCGCACGCGCTGTTTAACTGTCCACTCGCCCGTGAAAATTCCTGTAGAAATACAGGACTCTTTTATTTTTTCGTCTTACGTACGTGGTAAATTATCATCTTCCGGCGTAAATTGGCGATTTTTTGTTGAGGTCTTATTGTCGGGACCTAGTAACGAAAAAAGGGGGGAAATCTTGTTTCAATACACTACTTCCTGTAACAAGTTGTGTAGCCAAAATCTATGTTTTATGAACCCTTGGTTCCTAAAAATCGCTTGACGGCAAAACGTCTGTGATCAATACTGCCTCCTAAACCGTTCAGACGATTTTCTACAAAATTAATATTCCCCAATTGATATGAACGAACTCAAGGCGAACTCACAAACGTTTGGCGGTGAGTCTCTTCTTTTCAGAGACCAGACATTTAGCTACACCTTTGTATTTTCTCTATTATCTCGTGGTTCTTGAATGTTTTGATTTTGTAACCTAAAATTACAATGTTATTTTTTTACATGACAGTAGGATCCTGTAATATTGTTACAATGTTACCTTTTAGTATAATATTGCTCAATGTTAATTTTCTTTTTAGGTATGATCCAAAGAAAGGGTTTTTCTGCCAAGTTATTAATGGGGACCATACTAAATGCTTAGGTCGAAGCAAAGGGCGTCAATATCCACCAATGGAAGAAAAATCATACAAGTTGCTTCAGGTAAGCAATCTGTTTATGGATCTATTTTATAACATGGTTTTTGTGAAATAAATGTCTCTTATTACTCACATTGATCAATACATGACTTCTTGAGGACATTGAAATCTATGATGTTATTTGATTTTGCCTCAAATAATCTGAAGAGTTTAAATTTCAGTCAACAAATTAATAGTTAGATAATTTACAGAAAATATAGTTTTTGATGATGAATTGATGATAGGGAATGATTTTGTAACAGTGAGTGGCTTCAAAGAGCACTTTTGGTTCAAGAAGTATCTGTTTATAAAAGTTTCAGAACATCTGTATTGATAAATTTCTGAATTTTGTAAACCATAAATATTTCTGACACAATTAAAATTATACAGCACAAATAGTCACATTCAAAATCATTGTTAAAATTAACATTACTTTCCTTTTTGATGCTCAGTGTAGTCACTAATTGTATAGAAACAGCAGCAGAAAAGATTTTACTTGACACTTACTTGTTTATTGAATTTAATCGTTTAATGTCATCTGGCAATGCACATACATTGTATGTCTTAAATGTTTTAAGACACCATATTTGTCTTAAATGAGGTGGTACAGACCCCAGGTAGAGATCTAGATATTATTGAAATCAACCGCATCGTGTATGCAACTGGATCTCTGGTAGCCCAGATAATTTTGGGGTCAGTCAAAAACATTGACGGCCCACAGCCAAACAGTAAACACATCAGCACCCTCTATTGACGAAAAGAATTATCAAACTGATAGCTGACACTCGGTATGAAATATCACTTTTAGCCGAGACATATCACTTTTAACCAATGCTCACCTCTAAAGTTAAACGATAAATTCATGTTGAACAAAAACCCCAAATTCAAAACAACACAAGACTAATGGTAGCTGAGAAGCTAAAAGAGAAAGATCCAGCATGGGTTCAACGAATTAGATTTCCTTGTACAGAATCTAGCAAAGGCTGTTAATAAAATTTTAGGAAATCCAAAGATACTCCTGGAATGCCTCACAAGTGGCATCACATTATCTGCTACCCAAAACAAGAGACAGTGTTTTGATGGAGAACTAAACACCAATCACTTGTTTGCCAAAAATGTATAAAGTTACAACTCCAGCCATAGTTAACAAAATGCACAGACACCTATAGAAGAACCATTTGTTGGTAGTTGACCAGAAAGTATGTCGTAAAGTGTCCCACAGTTGAAAGGAAATCTTACTACTAAATAAAGGCATCTTGATTGATGTAAGGAAACGAAAACGTAATTTAAGCATGACTTGAATTGACTGCCGGAAAGGCTTTCACAGTGTTCCACATGATCGGATTTTGAATACCCTGGAGATCTGTTGATTTCTTCCTAGACTTGTAAGTTTCTCTCTAAGTTTTGCAAGACTAGTATGAAGTCGTGGAGTACCGTAACCTGCTAGTATGCGTTAGGCATACTAGTGAGCTATTCTAATACACAGCGGAAAGGAAGTAGTAGTATCAAGAATTATTCGGATTACGAGGAGAATCTTTCAAGGAGATTCGCTATTATCTTTGCTGTTTTGCATTAGTTTGATTCCACTATCTAGACAGTTGTACACTGACTGTGGTTGTAAGGTCCACGGTGATGAAAGACCAGTATCGCAGTTGTATGCGATGATCTTAAAGTGTTAATAATGTAGCAATTCTTTCCTAAATAATGTCTGCCGATAGTGATTTTAGTAAGGATATCTGCATGAAATTTGGTAGTGACAAATCTACAAGAGCCAATTTGCCGGACCGAAGGATCGCGGCTTCTAGTCCCGCCTGGGGCATGGTTGTATTGTGGACGTCCTTTCCCCTCCCTATCATCATATCGTGTTATCTTCACAGTTACCATACGTTACATGCAATAGTGGTCGCTAATGACCCAAAGTTGATGCGACCTTAAATAAAACAACAAAAACAAGTGTTAATTTAAAGAGAGGCAGAGTGACAGCAGAGTGACGTCAGAGAGCAAGTGATAGTGCACATTGTGATTCAAGATCTTGATAGAGGTAAAATTTGCAAATATTTGGGCATTGAAAAATGTGAGAACATCTCGAACGAGACAATGAAAGAGAGAATTTGCAGCGAGTTTTACAGAAGTGTGAGGCTTGTCCTACTGCCCTCTCTGAACTCCAGGAATAAATTATCAGCAATAGGTAGAGTTTGGCAGTGCCTGTGGCCAAGTACAGTTTCGGACTAATGGACTGAACAAAACTACTTAGATTAGAAACGGAAGAACAGTTCTCTTTGCGGATGATACGAATATTCTTTGCAATAAAGAAACCATAAGTAGTACAATATCATATATATATCAAATTGGTTCCGTTATAACAAATTATTAGTAAATGAAAAGAAAATGGTCTCAATGCAGTTATCCATTTTGAATAAACAGCTCTGTACTCCATTGGAAATGAACAGTGTGTCATTGACTGATGTTAAGGTAACTAAATTTTTAGGTCTTTTAATTTAGTCAAACCTTAAATGGAACGTCCATTTAAATGAATTGAACACTAAATTAGGTTCTTTATGCTACGCTTGCAGGATTCTTTCAAATTAAGTCAGCCTCCACACTGCTTGTTGTATACATTTCGCGAATGACCACCCCTGCCTGAGATATGGCACAATATTCTGGGGAAATACATCTTATAGTTCCCAGACGTTTAGATTACAAAAAAGAATTGTAAAAATAATAAGCAAATCCCATCCAAGCCTCTCGCACAGAGCAATAATCGGGATGGAAAAAGTATGTAGTCAGACGTCAAGGTGACCCACAAATGAGACTTGTCATTACATCTGGCCAAAGAATGGGAATCAGAGGCATTGTGAATATAGCAAGAAGCATTACAAAGAAGACACTGCAAGACATACAGAATATAGCTTATTGTATGACCTACAAATTCAAAGTGAGTCCCTGAATTGGAGAAATCAGAAGAAGAGGGTCTTCTTGTACACGTTGCAGTGCCATGCGAACAAAACATCATAACTGAGGAGGCAGAGAAACATCTTAAATAGTTGAAGTGTTGGGAAATAGAGATTGTCCGAATGTGGGGCAGAAAAGCACAGGTCATTCCGATAGTCATTGGAGATCTGGAATTTGTGAACGAAAATGGCTATACTTCATTCAAAAGGCATATTCAAATATCATGCAAAAGGCTGGGAAGTACAAGACATTGCTTAATTGGGAACAGCGCACATTTTGCGCAATGTATTGTAGAAGTACCAACAGTTCCTTAGATCTGCTCCGTAGGGAGCTGGTTGCAATCCAGAGTAGATTTTATATTCAACCGACTCACAACATCTTTAGTCATGAATTAGAATAATAATAATAATTGTATAGATAAGAATAATGAATATACTAAAGGATTTAAAATCTCTTTTAGTTTTAGAATGTTATTGACTTTCAGTGATTAACATAATATAATGTAACAATAAAAAACAATAAGATTGCACCTTAAGATGGCGGAAAAATTAGTCAATGTTGTTATTTGCTGTGAATACTAAATGAAAAAGTGTATTTAACTATAATGAAATGATGTTATATAGTGTTTTTGTGTTTTCACTGTTTTCATATTTTTTAATTTAAAGAAATTATAACTGTTTTAAAAATTGGGATCTAATTTTATTATTATTATTGTTATTGTTATTATTATTATTGTTATTATTGTTGTTGTTATTATTATTGTTATTATTATTGTTATTATTATTATTATTATTATTATTATTATTATTATTATTATTATTATTATTAGAAGACATTAGACATTAAATAAAGACGTACAAAAGAAATTGAAAACCAAATGTTTAGTTGAAGATGTAGAACAGTCTCAAAGGAGATGAAAATATCATTTACAGAGAATGAACATCAACCAGTGACATCTTCTGAAAGATCGGGTAAGGGATGCAATAACAATAGCAAATAATTTGTCAATAAAACACTGATTTCCTTCACTACATACTGCGATCAGGTTGTTAAAAAAAACAGTGTTCTAAGTGCTCTTCTGTTATTTGTTTAATATAAATACATTGTGTTAATACATTATATTATTTTATTAAATATAAATAGGGAGTGATGAGAAAAAAAATGTGTTGAATTTATGTTTCAATTTTCAATAAATCCCTGGATAATTTCAATCATTCTTTTATGAAATGCTGTTAGAAGATGAATCCAAATAATCAATATTACGAAATTACAAATAAAATTTTGAATTGTATGATCTTGGCGTTCCCGAACTTCATGCATGGAGGAATATAGAATTGTATATCATATATTCCTCCATGCTTCATGCCTGTAGTTAAGGGTTAAGAAGTTTAACTGCTATATAAGCAACTCCTCATGGTGAAGAAAATTTGCACTGCTTCCATGAAGTCCATATACTACTGTGCCTGAAGGACAATCAATCAAATTATTGGAGTTAAGCTTGTATACCTCATGTGTTTAAGGAATCGCATCAGTTGCGTGATTTGTAAGCCTATATCCATAATAAGCAACCTTCTCGAAGGTCATTGGCCTTGCAGCAGAATAGAACATAGGGAAGGGATGTGACATTCTTATGTGAAACCAGAGTGTTACAAAACCAGGAACTGTAACCGACAGTGGTCAGAAGCACCCAACTTCAGGACAATATAAATTTCTTACAGAGAAAATGATAAAAGTATACTGTAAAGATTAGAAATCATAAAACCAACCAAATAACGAAAGAATGCAACGCATCACTCGCATCCATTGTCGTTACGCCACTGACAACAACAGATTTCCAAAATTAATCTGGAAGTAGGAACCAATTGGGGTCTCAGATAGAGGTAGCCCACTAAAGAGGTGCACAATGCCTAATGCATCTGGGGAAAGGGAAGGAAATAAAATTTTGGTCAGGCATTCCGCTCCTATGTCAGTCCTACTGCAATTTGACACTGGATATGCCGTCTTGCAGATTTTTTATTATAAGTAATCTTGAAACAATTTTAGTATCACAAGCAAGTTCTTGTGAGTTTTGTTGTTGTTGTTGTTGTTTTCCCCCTACAACAATGATGAAAACATACACACACACACTCTCACAAATTCTTGCTTCCTTTGCTTGGATGATTGTTTTGTCATCTGTAAACAAAATAATTTTGTTATTTGATGATTAGTTAATGAAGTGATTTTGTCTTTTGCAGCGTTACTACCTGTCTCATAACACAGCATTAGTGAAACTACTGAAGAGACTTGGAACAAGAACTGTACCACAGTGGCTTAAAGATGATCTGAGTGATACTGTTACAGCCTAATATCTTAATAAACAAGTGTGTTACATGGTGAAAGTGTTTTAAGGAACCGTTGATTGTTTAGTCATCAGGCATGGAAGGGTGCAGTAATTTATAAATTAAGAGAAACAGCAGTACATCATCTTTCTTCGTTTATATTTAATGTTCCTAGGAAAGCAGATTCTTTGTTAGTGCTAATTGAAAGCAGTGTTACGTATTACTTCAATTTCTGTATTAATTAAGTTTTGGCACTCTAAATGAGGCCCTTTGTTTATTGCAAGATAAAAGTACTGACATTGGAAGTTTATAGTACACAGTTCAGTTTGTCTAATTCTTTGGACTCCTGAAATAAAACATTACATTGAAACAAATCAGTTCAAATTGAAAATACTAATTTGATGCACAAATTTAAAGAAAATTACTGAAAAGGAAAATTGAATTTTGTTTAACACATCATTAGTAAAACGTTTGGTTAAAATTATTCATGATGTTCAAGTGACTAACTAGTGAATACTACCGTTTTTATATTGGACTTGTGTGTATTTAGAGCATGTATGGGTAAATGTATTTGCTACATATTTTGAACTGAATATCAACAATGTATATGTCGTGAACTTCAAGTATAATTTTTTATGAAAATCAATGATTGTAAATGTATCTACAGTATATTAATGTACTTTCACAGTTTCTTAAAAATGAAAGAAAACTAGTTTTGTGTATCAAATCATGATCGAAGGTAAAATAATTTGGAATGATTTGAAATTCAAAATCTCACTTCCAACAAAATTATATGTTTCCTTTGATTTGTTGATATTTGTCTTCCACTGATGAAGAGCAATATTTTTACCTAATTTGAAATTATAAATGGGAAACAAATTATAGTTGATTCAAGTTTATTACAACCAAAGTGATTTTCAATCATATATAATTTCTTTTCATTTAATTATAATAGTATTGAAACAATAAGTCAATTAGCAAAGATCAGTCACTCATAATGTTAATGTTAGTTATAATTCAATTACTTTGTTAAGACTCAAAGTTCAGAAATGGGGCCTAATGTACAGACCTCAGAGAAGGCCACCATTTGCAGACAAGGACTTACCACATTCATGTTCACAATATTGTTTAAATTTGTGAGAAAACAAAAGTATGCAACATATCCTTTTCAGGTTAGAAAACATTATAAAGCAAAAACATCCATTATTTTAATTAGTTAATTATTGTAATACTACAATTTTAATTAATTATTTATTTTAATACAACTATTGTTTGGCTCGTAAATTTTGTTTCAACATTTGTGTTTCTCATCAGGATTATTCAATTAATAGGGCTGCATTTTAATCACCAAAGTATTAAAATCAATGTATGAAACATAGAAGATTGCTGAGTAAATTTGTGGTTGAAGTTAAAAATTTATTTGATTACACATTGTAATCTCCATTATCAATATTATCTACTGACCCTGCTTATTTGTTAACAAATTGAAGTAAAGACCAGTGGTGATGACATACAGGTATTACATGAGTAAAGTCACTTGTGACTGCAGCTAAATTATCATTTAATAACTGTACAAACAGTATGCTGTGTAGATTGCAGATCATCATTCTTTCCATATTTTATATGTAATATAATTTCATGATAATTCAAGTTCTTTTGAGGAACTTGTCAGTAGACTGTGGTATACATGAAGTTAAAGCAATTGCTGATATTATAGATTTAGGAAATGAGACATATCTGTGAATACTCAATCTGTACATATGTTGTCAAATATGTTAGTTTTTGATAAGTGTATATATTTCACATGTTTCATTTTCTCTTGATATCACAGTCTGTGTACGTCTTGTGTCCAAAAATATTGACAAATATGTATTAAAAGAAAAATTCCCATTGGTAGAGTCATCCTTGCTCTTAAGACTCTACTTATGAACGAGACACTTAATATTACGTATATTTGTGATGTTATTTATGAGAAACTTAAAAGTGTAAAGTGTTTGTTGGCCATAATTAAACTATTGACAATACTCTCTGAAAAAGGTTTATTTCTTATCACTAGTCTCAACATTGTATTTAACATTATTTATGAAGCATTTAGCTGGAATTAAATGTTTTAAATCACCTTATTCCATATAGTTTATGAAATTTTTATGTAATTTTCACTTATATTTTTCTTAATTGACTCAAATTTCTGAGGGTATTGGCAATTTTATAGTATTTATTTCATGTACAGACAAGGCTTGTCCCTTCCTAATGCATTAATGGGTAATCCCATTTTATATTTCATTTAAGTTTTCAATTAATGCTATAGATGGAGTATTGTTTCTATATACTTCTTGTAAATAAAAAAACTTGTGATAGAATTATTTTAATTTTATAACAATGAATAAAAATGAAAGATATACGGATGTGCTGAATTTCATGTCAGATCTTTGTTGAGTGTTCAGATATTTCTCAAGTTCTCTCCTTCAGAACAAAACATTAAATGGAATACTCTTAATTTGGGGGAGAGGTTGATGAATGTGTAATTTTCTTGATTTAATTATCTGTGCTGAATTATTAAATGGACTGGAAAGAATGACATTGACTGTGGGGAAAGAAGAGAAAGTAAATGTGAACATTAGAAGAATAATCACTGCGAGTAAAGAGTGAAAATATTTGTGCCAGATCTGCTCATGTTCAACGGGACATGTAATTAATAACAGTGAATGAAAAGTAGTGGACAAATATTGCATTGTAGTGCATTTTAATGCTGAAGTATGAGAGAGAGAGAAAGAGTATTTCTATTTGGTTTTTGTTTGTTTGGTTTTGTTCATTATGATGTATAATTGTGATAAATTACTATGTCCATATCCAGTGTTAGGTATCAGTACAATTGTTTATGTGAAGCCAAGACATTGATAGGAGCTTGTTCCATCAAGTAAAAATACTATCCTTATTTAATAAGAAGGTAACAAGCCACCTATCATGGTCAACAACATAATGTGGTGCCATTTTATTATGACTGTAAGTATAGAAATAATTAAGTACGAAATACAATGAAAATGTTTCATTCAGATACTGCAAAAGAGAAGACAAAAACAGAAATAAAATGAAGATGACAATAAATAATTCAATGCAATTTGTTACGAAAAATTTATTTCCTTTACTTATGCATATTGTATATGTTATTTTTAACATTAAAAAGTCTATATAATATATGTATATAAGCAATCAGCCTACCCAATATTGAACACTTATGCCCTAAGAGAAGAAAACTTCAGTTTGCATGTAAAAAAAATGATAGGCGTATTGTAAATGTATGCACTAAGCTATAAGATTAGCTTATTACATTGCTAACGTCAGGACTTTTGAAGGTGAAATAGTAGAAGTATTAATTCGTTGATATTCACGTTTGCAGCTACTTCTGCACTTCATATGTGCTATGAGGAATCGTATTCGTAATGGTTCTGTTCACATTAAAAAATTTTCTCTACATTAGATGCACACTGCAAACATATTAGAGCAGTTTGTTATGTTACAGAATTATCAGGCAATTATTTCTAATTTCTTGATGAAATCTGGATATTTCTGCGAAGAAGATTCTCCTTTACCTGAAAGTAGTTACATATTATGCATTAATCACATATCGGCCCTCTCTGTGGAAGGCATATATCTTGCCTGTATTGCGTTCCAATGTTTTTGCCTGAGTTTCTAAGGCTGAATGTGTGATAGAGGATACTTCTTGAGTTATGCTTTGTTTTCTGAAGCATCAATACCTTTCTTGTTAATATTTTTATGTGCTTTACATCCTGGCTGCATAAAAAAAGACTCAGGTTTTAAATCCCACAATCTCTCGAAACACTTTCTTCCTGGACCTCTAGAAAGAGTAGCCATTGCCCGTTGATGACATATGTCATCTTCTTCAGTTCGTAAAAAATGCAGTATTTTCATTAAGAAAAATATTAACACAGTCAGTACTATCATTGTGACTGAAATTACCAAGCCTCCAATTACTTGCCAACCAAAGTGAATTATTATTTTATGAGGTACACCAAATCCCTCCCGGCTTCCACATAGAGGGGGTAATAATGAACCAAGAAATCCACATGATAAATGTGCTGCAATTATATTTGCATAGTCTTCTAATGCAGAATAGAACATGAAATAGGCTATAACATAAAACAAAATTCCTCCAGAAATACCTAATCCTAATGCTACATATGGAGTATAAACATCTACTCCTGGTGCAATTGTCACAATTCCAGCAACTGCTCCTTGCATGTATCTCAGCATGGTCCAATATTGTAATAATAAATTTCCAGAAAAAAAGAACTGAAGTACCACAACTGTGATGATACCTCCTGCAGCTGCAAGTATATTGTTGATAAAGATCAAACCAATGTAATTCATTGGCTCATGAGTTACTTCATAAACAGGAGTTGGAAGACATACTGCCATTAGACCATATATTACAAGTATGTATCCCACAGTCGCACTAGCCGGAGATTCTGGAGTTAGAAACCCTCCGTCAATATCTTCCAATCTAAAAAGTCGCCGACCAAGAAACAAGCTGCCAATGAATGCTACAATTCCTCCACACACATGAATTAACATGCCACCTCCATGATCCTTGTAGGATACGTAATTTTGAATAAACGTGGCCTTGTTCAACCATCCTGTAGAAGTCCACATCCAATGCATTATGACTGGTATAATTACGGAAGCTAGAAGAGTTGTCATAAAAATGCATCCCACGTAGTGTATTCGACCAGCAAACATGGTGGTGTATATTCCCGTAACTGCAATTATGCTAGACCATCCCACAACCGCATTTTCTATGTGTGTATCTGTGGCGAGAATCCAATCTCCCCGCCCTACCACACCACCTACGTCTTGTCCGAAAGCAAGCACGTATCCAAGCAATCCGTACGCAATCGTTGCACAACAGATATCAAGAGTGTTTTGAAGAATTAAGCAATTGGCATTAGTTGAAGGCACACATCCAAATTGTATCAGTATTAAACCAGCTCTTAACATAAGGCTTCCAGTGCCACGAAGAAAAATTGTGCTCGAACCATAGTCGTGTATTAATGTAGAGTCATTACTGTCTACAAAGTACGATCCATTAATATAGTCACGACTGAGGTTTAAAGAGCTATTGTTAAATGTCATTTCCACAAAGTACCGTAAACTTTACGTCGTAAAGGCCGGTTTCTTGATGCATATTTTGAACTTCGCGGTTATCTAACAAAAGAGTATCCGCTTAGACACGGAGTTTCGCATGATTATTTTTAATATTTCTTTGGTTATGAGAGAAACAATCGGAATTTTGTCCTTTATTATGTCAGGCATCAAATGACAGAAGTATTTTTTTGGCATGTTACTCACATTATGACTCTTATTTATTACTCTTGAGATGAAATGCTTCTGTTACAATGACGGAAATAAATTTCAAACTATATCAATCACTTAAATACTTTAGAATTATGAAAATAGCATTTTAAACCTAGTACCACGTTGCCAATCGTGTTCCATGAAGACTAATGCTTGATACCGTCGTAAGTGTCATTATTGAGTTGAGTGAGATATCTTGGCGCTCCACTCTTTGACCTCCACCAGGCGAAGTTAAAGAGCGTTCGCTGCTGTCGCAGTGTAGTATGGGAACATGGCGGCAAGTGGTGTGGTGTGTCGGTCGAAAGTGCTCTTTGTGATTGATTTTAACCGGTTTTTCAATTTGCCATGCTATGTCGGTGCAGGACCGTGCAATAAGGTAAGCATGGTCTTATTGCTCGTACGTTCTTTCGAAAAATCAAGTTCTGTTTTCACAAAAAAATAATTCATTAATGAGGGCCCAATCCTAGGTGTTGTGGTTTATGCGTTTTGTGATGGCAATTAGTTACCTGCTTTTATGATATGTTTTCCACAGTTCATGCCATTATTGAACAATGTACCGTATTATTATACTTGTTATTAAGCGCATGAAATGAACTATAGTAGTTCCTGTTAGAATTGCTGTGAATTTGACAGGTTATGAATAACGACTCTAGTAATGTACACCGTCACGATTGTTTAGGGTTTTAAATTTTTGGCATGGTGTAATTTTTGTTTCAGCATTTTTTATTACTTTTTTTTGTTTTGAAGGGAACATGAATATTTCTGCGCCCTCTCTTATATGCATTATTTTATCAATTTATGAATGGCAAACTGAACAGTGATCATCCCACTTTCAAGGTATTGTTGTCCATAAAGTGAAGATTCACTTTGGTCCGAACTGGTCCCGATGGGCGGGTAGAGGGAGGTGGCGAGACAGTGGCCGTGTTGTGTGGCGACAGGGCCGAGTGGCAGGGCCAGCTGTAGCGCCGCCAGTCGCGAGGCGAGGGGCGCGCCGGTGTCTGGACGCTCGTCCCGGGCGTGCCGCATCGCCGGTCGCACGGGCGGGCGGGCGGGGCGGGCCCTAACCCGATCCGACCCCGACCCAGACCCCGCGCCCGCGTGGCCCTCGACTTGTCACCTCTCGCGAATGACGCGCCACGACGAAAGCAGCCTGTCTGTGCATGTTGCACGTGCAATGCAGACATTACTTGCTATGCCCTAATTTTTGCGATAAGAGGAAGTACCAACAAATGAAGGTGTGTGAATAAAATTGTAAGAGTGCCATTGAAATAAGTTGTACGATGCAAGTAATAATAAAAGTAAAACGAAAGTTATCAAAAGTGTGCATTCTTTCAATACCTGTATTGTGGAAAATATTTTATGACATTTGCGGATATCTTGCACCGTCCGTGGCTTCTCAAGCAGAATAAACAGCAACTCTGAATTTGAAAATTGTCTTAATTTGAATTCTTAAAGCTGTTTTCAAGAGAGGGCGGATTGATTTTTAATCAAAGCATCGCAAGAATTGTTTTGTTTTCTTATCCCTTTGTCACCAGTGCGTTAAATATGACACGACTGAATTAGCGTGTCGTGCGCACCGCAATAGCCGCGGTGGTGATTCTCCCGAGTGCGCGCTTGACGCGGAAAGCGAGAGTTGTGGAGTGCGTGCATGCGTGCGTGGAGCGAGGAGGGGGGGGAGGCGAGGGCACTGCAGAGGCGCGACTGCGGCACCGGAATCGGGCCTGGGCCGCTTTGCTTCCTCAGAGAGCGAGTGGTGCGGCCACTTCAGCGCTGGCGGTGCCTCCGGGCGGAACTAGGGATGCGACGTCGATGTTTTTGAAACATCGATGATTTCATAAAATTTGCATTTGACTTAGATTTTTTAAGCAAGTGTGCTTTTAACATCGATCGCTTTTACGTGGTAGCGGTTACGGTTCATTTTTTAAATGAAAAAAAAGACCATCATAACAAACTCCTATAATAATTTTTAGAAATCCAGAAATTGGATATTCAGGCCAAACTGAAGGTGGAAAAAAATATCGAGTTTTCGCCACTAGAGAAGCCTATATTGCTTTTGAGTAATCCACAATTCGTTAATTGTGTTAATGATTTTTGTTTTGTTAAAACTCAATTAAAAATTAATAAACGATAATACTTTGGAAGTAAATATATCCCCCGCGTAAACGTCAGTGGTTACAAATTCAGTTTTAAAATCATCGGTGTTTAATAACATCGACGGTTTAGGTCTATAATTAATTAACATCAATACTTTAATATTTTTCATCGATGTTTAGGCGATGTCGCATTCGTAATCCAGAGCAGTTTTTTATTTATGATTAAAGCCAATGTTTAACATCGTTTAGTGTTTAACATGTTTAGTTTGTGAATGAAGAAGTTCCGTGATCACCATTTAGTAAAAGTTAAAATATGAAATAATTTTTTACCACTGTCAGTTGAAGTGTTCGTGCCAAACGAACGCTGTTTGTATTGCTTTCTCGCCCGAGAGGTGATTCTGATGCGTAGGTATTTCTTGCGCCTTGGCTCGTATTTGGCTCGCGGAGGGCGGTCGACGCACGCGCGGTAGGCATCGGGTCTTCCGCATTCTTTCGACCATTTGAGAATCCCATGAGCGCTCAGTTTTTATAAATTGTTCTTATTATTTTAGTGTTCGTTTTATAATTTAAAACATTCTTATAAATTAATACACACGACGGCCATCAAATTAAATTCTCCCCCACACGAATGTTAATGTTAGAGGGAATTAAAACTCTCAATAACATCGATGTTTTGGGGGTGATTTATTATTAGCATGTTTTAATTTTGATCATGGATGGTTTGTTGTGACATTCCCACAGAGGACATTCGTCGCCGCACAACACGAGAATTACCCCACCCCAGAGTGGCTCGTAGAGAGCCCGGAAGTTTGAATTCTTTCAGCTCAAATGCCCATTTATTTTTGTAAATGGCGTGAAAAACGCATTCTATTCCGCTAAATAGGTGCGAAAATTCATGAAAAGTTTTCCAATGAAATTCACATGACAAAAATATACATTGAATCACCATTTTTTTCACTCTAAAATTTGCATTAGCACTTAACGTGTCTCTAATTATATTTCTTTGTAATGTGGATTCCATCTGACCACCCGGCATAATAACTACGAATTTGTTTACTGGAGATGCTGTCTCTTAGTAATGGTATTGTGGATTATAAATTTTGTATTGGCATCAGTGAAAACAGAATTATATTTTTCGTTCTTCTCACTTGTGAAATCGCCAGCACTGAGAAGGGCATATCCTGTCCTCAAATGATCGCAAGCTACACTCACCTAGTGGTGCTACAGAATGGCACAGACATTCCAGTAGGTTTTCTATTTTCTTTGGTCTCGGTTAGCTATTCGACCTTGTCACGTATTCTTGTCCGCTACCATCTATCGCCACCCAAAGAACATTTTTTTAACATTTTCCTTATTTTTCGGTTTCCTAATTGCAGAAATGAAATATTATTTGAAGATTAAAGAACAGTAAAACTTCGTCCTTAATGGCAATTTTCTTTGAAACATTTGGAACGGTTTTTAAGATGACGCTTAAACGCTACAGTAAATTCGAAATTTGAAGCACTTTTTTCACAAAAAATGATTGAGTTTTCAACAAATTTTATTTGAATGACAACTAGTTAAATTAAAAAAATCCCCAGAAACGGCTCAACATTTTTTAAAGTAAATTTTTGACTTTGGATAGCGTAAAGGACGCTTGAATTGGGCCAGATCTAATTTTCGTTAAAAACCCTGATTTTTGGAAAATAGCAAAAATTATTCAAATGAGATCACATTCAATTTTTCGAAAGTAAGTATTTTTTGCGTAATTGGCATTAAACATAGGCACATTTTTACATTTTATACAATTATTTTCTCAGAAACGGCTTCAAATTTTTTTCAGGTATGTAGCAAACATCGGTAAAGAAAGTGGTGTTGGTCCCGGTTCACCATCTGTATTTTCGAAAATTGGAAAAATTGGTTCGTTTGAGGCGGTGTCGCTCGGTGAATGTAATTTGGGATGTGCTTGGAGGCAGTTCGATATGCCAAGAATCCCTTCGCATTGTCGGGACATGGTATAGCTATATGAAACGCTGTTTTAATTGTCGAATTTGTGTTATGTGCTTTAAAAGAATTATTTTTTGTACCTAATGTTCCAAGATGTGGGTGGAGATAGGATTTCCATTCAAATGTCCGTTTTTTTTATTTAAGCGTCGTAGAACTTACAAACTTTGTAATTATATTGTTCTGTTTATTAATGTTACAGCCTGGTAATGGGAGTAAAAAGCAAACTCTCAAAATGTCACTTAATGTATGTTCTTCATGAATAAAAAAAAATGTTCAAGAAATATCAATGGGTTTTTTATATTAACT